GGAAGCAGGGAGGGGTGGGAGGGAGAAAACTGAATGGTACTGACAAAGGGAGAGAAGAGCAATGTAAAAAAATCACTTCCTCTAATCCTCCTCAGATGATCAGAGGAAGCACTTAATTGACAGCAGATCAGGCTATAAGGGATCATTTGCTGTTTGGAGAGGAGGAGTACACCAAATGGCACATTAATCCTCTCTCCAACCTCAGCAGACCCTTTGTAGCCTGACCACCCCACACCCAAAATAGTCAGTCTGGACAGGCCCAATGGCTGTGTTAGCCAATATGAGTGCTCAGTGTCATGTACCGGGGGTAACAACAGCCGAGGTCCGATACGCCAGTCCAAAGTCAGGAATACTAGGAATGTAAAGCCGATATCCAATTACCAAACCAACTCACAGAACGTAGTCCAAGGTCAGAGTCCATAGTCAAACACACAACGTAGTCCAAAGTCCGAGTCCAAAGTCAGAAGTTCAGGAAACACGGTTCAAGGTTGTAGGAGCATGGATGCAAGTCAGAGGTTTTGACCTGTTGCTTCCACGAAATTCTAGCTGACTAGGAGCTGTTTTTATAGCAAAACAGCCCCTTGAGCTGCTGGAAACCTTTCCATCCTGTCAATCCTGTCAGGGCTAGTTGAACGGATGTTTCTGTGGACAGCCTTCGAGCTATCCTCTGACCTTTTTGCCATAAGTCTTCCCCGAAGCTTATCTGCTGGGGAAGGAGAATCTGGAGGCGATTCAGGTGTTTCTGATTGCTCAGCATTCTCCTCAGCCTCAGTTAACCCTTCTGGTTCCAGCTCTTCAGCTGCACTCATGACACTCAGATGACAGGAAGGAAGGCAGAAGAGACCTGCTCCCATGTCTTTCACAAAATACCCACTTTAAATACTGTTTTAGAAAATTACAGAGGAATCTGTAAAGCCTGGGGATGGGAGGATTGAAATGCCTTACTCAGATCCCCTCGACCCCAAAATCCCTAGACAGTATGGTTACTGGCTAGGAAATTCTGGGACTTCAAGTTTTTTTAAAAATACATTTTTCAAAGTCTGTTTTTCTCCTTACCCATAGTTTAAACACTGCTCAATATGTCTTTCCAGACCAAATCCTGTATTTTTATGAAGGGTTATCTAAATGTCTTTCCCACTGCTGCTTCCTCAAATCAGCATGTTATGAAAATATGATGTTCAGTAGTTAGAGAGGCACAGTTGTGCAGATCAAGTGAGTACATTTCTCGCCTCTTTTCCTATTTGCTACCAGTCTCTTGCCCTCTCTTTACATCAAGAATGAATTGCACAGAAAGTGCCAGCAGAGCTTTAGTGGAAGTTAATATTAAAGGAGAGTTAGCCCAAGATATTTTGCTACCTGAATCTGTCTAATGCCCTCTCCCAACTCCAGGTGTAGAAACTGACTGGACAGGCAGCTAAATCTAATATAGTTACCAGTAATGGGACTTTTCCAACTGCATGTTGCTGTTTGAGGTAAAGAGCAAGATGGCACTCTTCTGTATAGAAGCCAGATAGAATGGCAGCTGAATCTTATTCAACATGAGTGATAGGAATAGACAATCAGCCACACTGGAGAGCAGCAAAAAGCTTTGAGGGGACAGGGCAGGCTGTATGGAACATAAGGCTCTTTCAACAACACCCTTTTCTCTCTGAAGACCCCACCTCAGCCCTCATTTTGACAAACGGTGGGACTAATTCTGGATCAAAGTATTTCCTGCATAGCAGTGACCTGTAGAGAACTACAACTAGCTCACTTTCTTGCCTGAAATGTTGTTAAAGTTTAATTACCTTTCCCCCAAGAAATACAGCCTGACAGACCTTAGACACCCATAACAGCCAAACTAGACAGGCTGTGAGCAGTTTCTGCTGCTAAGGGTGGGAGAGGAGACGACTAGAAACAAACATATAGAGAGCTCTATTGCATTGCACAGAAGTCAAAACGAAAATCCTCCCATTCCGGAAAGTATCATAATTCCTCTCAGCAATCCTGGAAATAGACCTCAGCAGATTCTCAGTGTTGGTTTTCCTTCAATCCAGGAGTTCTTTGCCCCTGGTCTAACAAAAGAATCTACTGTCTTCTGAGATCCAAGCATGAAGAGGATCAGCAGGGATCTAAATCACTGACAGGTAAACCAAACTTTCTGATGGGAAAAGGATCAAGAGAAAATTAAAATAATGTCTGAAGTTACACAAGATGTTATTTATAATGTACCATCTTTGTGACAATGTCAACATCACATAGAAATTGCAAGAATATGCTGATTGCTCCTTTTTCAGGGTTATAGGACATACTCATTTGAGATACAGCTGAGAGATTTACTACTCATTCAAGAAGTGGAGCGGGAGGAGAAGAATCAGAAATAACACACTTTTGCAATCTTGCTTTTCATTGTTGGTCCCATTCAATAAGTCTAGCATGTAGTGTGTTTCTCTGTCCCCTTGCACAGATGTCATCTGCTGTCACCTGCTTAAAGAAATCTAAATGGATATATTGCTCTACTTTTAATTGATTAATTAGTTGTTGTCATCTACATACAAGCAAAATAGATTTTGCACAGATGTCATCTGCTGAAAGAAATATAAATGGATATATTGTTGTCATCTACATACAAGCAAAATAGATTTCAGACAGCAGAGCAGGCAGGATCTTACCACAGGTGTTCCACCCTGTGTGAGAGTGAGTGGGAAAAGTCTTCTAAGACACTCCCTACCATCTATAGTTAATACTACTTTTATATCAACTTTAATAAAGATCAGCACACTTCTAGACAAAAAGGCTAAGCTAATGCCTGATCCTACACTTATCTATATCTGTCTATGGGTTTCCTCCAGATGGCCACACTTAATGAAGCAGGATGGATGAGCTGAAAAAGGCCCTTTTCCTGCCACAGAGATATTTTCCTGGTACATATGCCACATATGGCATTTCTGGCACCAAATAAAACTTTTAAAAAATTATTCTAGATGTTTAAAGAACTGTTCCCAGTGCTTTCAGATTTAGAAGTCTTTGGTGTTAGTACTGGTTTTATGAGTAGCAGTGTTTTTCCTCTTTGCAGCTGGTTTTATCTTGGTTTTATTATGAGCTCTTTATACCGATTGTTTCTTTGTATTTTTTTAATGTATTGTATACTGCTCGGAGAATGCTGGTTGCCAAAGCATTGGAGCATGTGATATATAAAGTAGATGACTTTGAGTACACGTAGAGTGCTTTCTACATTTACAGTATATCAATTACAATTTATACAATTAGTTAACTTTTCTGCATACTGTAGTTCACTTAGTGGTGTGCAACGGTTGCTGATGTTGTTAAAATGTGTTAGCCACTTACTTTTATCACAAAAAGCAGCCGTGAAGGGCATTAATCCAGGTAGAGCCAGACTGCACAAAAGATATTAATTTTACCTGTCCATGCAACTTGCCCTCTAGAAATCAAACACCAGTGGCTGTGATTTATGGCCAGTGCCTATTAGAGATCATTGAACGGTAGGAGTTGCTTCTCACACTTTATTTTCCCCACTTGCATTCTGAAGATATGCATACAGAAATTGTTATTTTTATATCTCACAAAATTAAAATCTAATGGGACAAACAGAACTTTGAGACAGTCCTGTGGCAGCTCCAAGACACTTCTCTGTAGTTCCTGCTGGTCCCAGATACATCTTCGAAGCAATCTTCTTCAGCCTGGCAACCTCCAGCAGTGGCAGATAGCAACTATCAGCACTCCTTGCCAGCTTAGCACCTGCAGCTTGTGGAGGTGGATGATTGTAATCTGAGACACTGGGTGGATGACAGGTTATGGAGAGCTGTGTTTGGGTGTGCAAAGAGAGATCTATATAAGACCTTAGAACTTAGTACAACAATAAGGTTCAGCCCTATTGATTGATTGATTGATTGATTGATTGATTGATTGATTGATTGATTGATTTGGAGCCTCGTGGCACGGTGGTCAAACTGCTTTAGTGCAACCTAAACTGTGCTCACGACCTGGGGTTCAATTCCAGGTTGCCGGCTCAAGGTTGACTCAGCCTTCTATCCTTCCGAGGTCAATAAAATGAGTACCGAGCTCCCTGGGGGGGCGGCAATGTGTAGCCTGCATAATTAACTTATAAACCCCCCCAGAGAGTGCTTGAAGCACTATGGGGCGGTATATAAGCAGTACGCTTTGCTTTTATTGGTTGGTTGGTTTGTTTGTTTAAACCCTATGTTTCCCCAAAGTCAACTTTCCTCATTAAAAAGACAATATTCAAAAGTTTAAAAAGAATATAAATATTTTAAAAATTATAAACAAATATTTATTTTAAATTCAAAAAGACAATATTCAAAAGTTAAAAATGAATATAAATATTTTTAAAATTATAAACAAATATTATATTTTAAATGATAAATGATGAATCAAGTCAATGCTAAAAATGCATTTAGAAGTAACAAGGCACAACAATCCCATTTAAAAAAAAACCTCTCAGGCAGACAGACACTAAGGAAAAGCTTGCCTATTTCAAAATGAAGAGACTCTTCTTTTACTCTTCAGAGATTAGATGACATTATATGTTAACACCTCTGGAAGATCCAATATTGAATATAGGGTTTTAATTAGAATTCTGCAATGATCTGAAAGTTAAAAACAACATGATTAAAAATACTGTGAAATGCGCAGAATAAAACTTGTAACAGAGGAAAATTATGATAATCTTCCTTTTTTCTGAGGTATGAATTTCTAAAATAAAAAAAGCAATCGCAATATTTCATAACTTACTGAATTTTTTTTAAAAAGAAAAAATCTAGCAGTTCAATAATAGTGCACTTGATTACTTTCTATGCATATATTCAGATATTTTTGTATCGTATTGTAAAATATTTGCTAACAGTATGTTGAAACCAAACTTAAGTCCAATTGTTTCTGTGATGTTTAAGGATGACTACTTCTGGATCTAATATATTGTGACTGAAACTCGTCTAAGCTAAACTAACCCCTTGTGTTTTTTTTCTCCCTGAAGCCTCACCATGATATCACCAACTGCAGTTGCCTCTATAGCCAATTTGACTATCATACTGTCAGGCTATGATGCAGTGCCTCTGGAGAATTGTACTGATGACGTCCATGAGCTCCGACAATCTTACCTGCCACCTCTGTATGGAATCACCTTTCTTGTGGGCTTCCCAGGCAATCTCATAGTGATTTATGTGTATGCGTTCAAGATGAGGCCCTGGAAGAGCACCACCATTATCATGTTCAACTTGGCCTCCACAGACCTTCTGTACTTAGTCACCCTTCCTTTCTTGATCCACTACTATGCCAGTGGGGAGGACTGGATCTTTGGCGATTTTCTGTGTAAATTCATCCGCTTCAGTTTCCACTTCAATTTGTACAGCAGCATCCTCTTTCTGACCTGCTTCAGCATCTTCCGATATTTTGCCGTTGTTCATCCCATAAGATCTTTCTCAGTCCAGAAAAAGTCATGGGCTATATTAGCATGTGTTGCATCTTGGGTCTTTTCGCTCTTGGCTGTGAGCCCCATTAACTATCTGATTACCTCAGAAGATTCTGAGAACAAATCTTTTTGCCACGACCTTATGAGTTCTGAAAAACTGGATGTTATTAGATGGTACACCTGGCTTTTAAGCAGCTTGGTCTTCTTCTTGCCTTTAATAATTGTGACTCTTTGCTATGCTGCTATCATCTGTACCTTGGCTACAGGGATGCACACTCAAAACCGATATAAACAGAAGGCTCGTAAACTAGCCTGTCTCCTCCTGGTCGTCTTTTCTGTGTGTTTCTTACCCTTCCATGTCTTACGGATTCTTCGGATTGAATTAAGGCTGCACCCAGTCAAGTGTGAGCTTGAAACCCATGTACATACTGCCTACGTTATCTCCAGACCACTGGCTGCAATGAATACATGTTGCAACTTGTTACTTTATGCAGTGATCAATGATAATTTCCGGCAAGCCTTTCCATTATTTTTGAGATGCAAGTTGAGTAGCTTGATGCAGCAGATGGGGACTGGAAGCAACACTGACTTCAACAAGTCTGGACAATTAAAATTATGACTTGATGTATTTTCCTTTAGGACATTGGTTGTTAATTGTCTTCTAATTAAGATCATCATCTCTGTATGGGGAGATCATGTAGAGATCTACCATATTTTATATTTTATAATGTGCAGAATGGCCTTATGGGAACAAATCTTTTCATGTGCTTTTGGAAGTGCGTGAAGATAACAGGACTCAATGTATGGAATCATTGCTTCAGGTCAAAAGTGGCCCAAGTTGTTCTTTGTATTGTTTTTGCTACCTCAGGCAAGCAAATTAAAATGTTGTGGTGCTCCTTTTTGTCCCATTGGGCACTGAGCAGCATAACAATAGCATATTAAATGATCAAGAGTTCATTTCATTTCTAATGCCTTCTTTATTTATTTTTTAATAAAAAGACTCTGGGCAGCAACCAATATAAATTAGAAAATTCTCAAATCACATTCCTTAGAAAGCAGGGGATATTATCTGCCTTGGGATTTCTAGGCTTTATTTCTTTCTTTCAGATCTGCAGGTATTTCTTTTTGTAAGGTATTTACCTGACTAAGACTAATGGCCCCCAAATTTTGGCATCCCAGGTTTGCCAAGAAAGGGAGGGTGTGTGTGAGAGAGAAAGACAGACCGATCGTTAGCAGTTCTTTAAATGCCTAAATGGAAGAGAATGCATTCAAATCTTTTGAAAACATCTCCGCTGTGCCCAAAACATTTCCTTACAGTTCACAGAATGGAAAGCATTGAGGTAAACATAACGAAATATTAACACAGGCTGGGATTCTGTACATGCCAGTGCCAGCTAATTAATGAACCAAGCCACATACCAGGTACATTAGAGGGAAACAAAAAGAAGGATCTTACTCCTTTGAGGTAATGAGGGTTTGATACTTCCCCTTATATCACAGCACACACCTCTCTCCTCTGCCTTCTCCAGTGGCTGCCCACTCAAAGGCTTCCCTGCTGTGCCTCTTTGTCTGATTCCAGAGATATTATTGGCTAGAATCCTGTTGGTGTCCATGTAAGTTTTGTGTAACTTGCTGCAGCTAACTGGCAAGATGTCAGGGTGCATCTCAGTCTCATGCCTAGTTAAACACCCTACTATGCAACTAAGATGCATCCTGTCACCTCATCCGTTAGCTGCAAGTAACATAAATCTTACATAAACACAAGCAGAATTCATGCCATCATCTCCTGCTGAAGTTTAACCTGGCTGAAATTTAGCCACCGCCACCACCACCACCACCACTGCCACCACCGCAGGGAGATCAAACCAATGAAAATTATTCCCCCTTGTAGTTGTCTCAATTTAGACAGGTTTCAGGAGGTCTTGGGAGGGTATCTGACTGCTTTGATTGGCAAGCGTTCATCTCAATAGGTGGTGCACTGAAGTGGTCTGGGCAGTTGACATGATAGTTCCCTAACAGCCCTTCTGCTTCAGAGCACATCCTTCCCTCTGCTTCACACAGGAGCTGCATGCTATGAAGTTAATGAGACAGCTAGTGGAGGAAATATCAGTTGGAGAATGATTTAGTTGCTATAAGGAGTTTGATAACGAGATATGCCAATGCCTTAAGATCAGCAAAAAATGTTTTTTAATTTTAAGATCATTGGGTTGGATGTGAACCAACAAGCAGAACTTTTCTGGGTGGTTCTCAGCCTCACTAACTGTGATCAATAATGATCTCACTCTGGTGATTTTACAAGGGATCAGTTCACAGCCTTCTTTAAATCTGAAATTGAGGCCATCTGGTCAGCTTGGCCGATCCGACTGAGATCTCTGGCCTGTCCTCTCTGTTGGCCTTGTTGGTTGGGTTTCAGCCTTTTACAATGAACAAGGTCTCCAGGGCACTGGTCTGCTAAAGGCCATGCCCCCCGTGGCTATAGAAAGCTGTCAATGGGGTCACCATGGATGGGACCTCTAAATACTATAAATGCCTTACTGAGGGAGGGCCATATCCCTCCTTGTGTGAAGGAACCCATCATACTATCCTTCCTAAAATGGCTGGGTTTAGCAATGGATAACTGAAATAATTTTAGGCCCGTTGCTAATATCTCCTTTATGGGCAAATTGATTGAGTGGGTGTTGGCAGGGCAGCTCTGGACATACCTGGAGGTGGAGGGGGACAGCCTCGATCCGTTCTAGTCCAGGTTCAGGCTGTGCCACGAACTGAGACAGCAGTAGTCGCATTGCATAACCGCCTTTTAAGAGAAGCCAATGAGAGGGGGCCCCCGGTAATGGCCCTGTTGGTGCTCCTTGATCTCTCAGCAGTTTTTGATACCATCGACCACAGTATCCTCTGGGGCAGACTGGCAGGGATAGGGATGGTAGTACAGCTTGAGGAGGAGCTGTCATCCCCCGTGGAGCCTCAGGTATGAGGTCCCCCAAAAGTTGTCAATCTTCCCAGTGCTTTTTAACATATGTGTTACATCACTGGGAGACGTAATCCAGAGATCTGGAGTGTGTTGTCATCAGTAGACTAATGACATGCAACTCTATCTTTCGCAATGCAGTGCATGTGGATGTCTAGGTTGCTGAGTGCTGCCTGGCCTTGCTTCTGGAGTGGATGAAGGCTAATAGACTGAAACTGAAGCTGGACAAGATGGGGGTCCTCCTTCTGGGGAGCCCTGTGGACAGCTTGTCTACCCAGGTTGGATGATGTAACCCTACCAATTGTGGACTGAGTGCATAACTTGGGCATGTTCCTAGGTCCAGCTGTTTCATGGGAATCCCAGGCTGCGGCTGTGACCAGGTCAGCCTTTAGCTGATGCTAATAGCCCAATTGCACTCCTACTTGGATAAGGGAGGGGACCTAAAGATGTTAGTATGTGCACTGATAATAATCTCAAGGATCAACTGCTGCATGTTCTCTACAGAGTGTTTGCCCTGACACTGACCTGGAAACTTCTACAGATGAGCAATGCAGTGGACAGGCTAGTGTCAAATGTGAATAAGTTTCATCACATTTCTCCAGTCCTGGCCCACCTGCACTGGCTGCCTGTGTTCTATCAGGCTAGATTCAAAGTGTTGGTTTTTACCTATAAAGCTCTCAGTGGTTTGCTATCTCACTTCTTGTCAGAGCATCTTTCCCTAAAAATATCTTCGCACACTGCTTGATCTTCTTAGGCCATCCTCCTCTAGGAAGTCACTCTGAGAGAGGCCAGGAAGTAATCTACTGGAAACAGGGCCTTCTTGGTTATGGCCCCATTCCTATGGAATGGGTTCCTGGTGGAGCAGAACCCAGCCCCCTCCCTCACATCCTTTAAGAAGATGCTCGAAACAAGGCTGCTTAACAAAGCTTTTGAGAGCATTTTCTCTTAATGTTTCATGGATTGGCCATCTTGATATTTCCTCTCTGTCACTGCTTGGTGTGTGTGTGTGTGTGCGTGCGTGCGTGCGTGCGTGCGTGCGTGCGTGTGTATGTATTCATTCATTCATTCATTCATTCATTCATTTATTTATTTATTTGATTATCGTGTGTTGTATACTTTTATATATAAGGAGCTTATTTCTCGGTATATGATTTGAGATTATCTGGATGTCTATTTTACTTTGTATGTAAACTCCTCAGAGTAGTGCCTACTAATCGGGCAGTATACAAGCTCCTTCACGGATTGCTGCCTTGTCGTCGCGAAGGGGCTTGAGTAATTCTGAGAAGCTAAGGGCTATGCCGTGCAGGGACACCCAAGATGGACAGGTCATAGTGGAGAGTTGTGACTAAACGCGATCCACCTGGAGCAGGAACTGGCAAGCCATTCCAGTATCTTTGCCAAAAAAGCTCCATGGACAGAAACAAAAGGTTAAAAGATATGACACTGGAAGATGAGTCCCTCAGGTCGGAAGGCGTCCAACATGCTATGAAGGAAGAGTGGCGGACAAGTAGCTCCACAGCTAATGAAGTGGTTGGGCCAAAGCCGAAAGGACGCTTAGCTGTGGATGTGCCTGGAAGTGAAAAGAAAGTCCAATGCTGCAAAAAAAAAAAAATACTGCAGAAGAACCTGGAATGTAAGATCTATGAAACTTGGTAAGCTGGATGTGGTCAAACTGGAGATGGCAAGAATAAACATTGACATCCTGGGAGTCCTCTTGGTAAATAGAAGGGGAAGATATGGAGGCAGTGACAGATTTTACTTTCTTGGGCTCCATGATCACTGCAGATAGTGACAGCAGCCACGAAATTAAAAGACTCCTGCTTCTTGGGAGGAAAGCGATGACAAACCTAGACAGCAGCTAGAAAGCAGAGACATCACCTTGTCGATAAAGGTCCGCATAGTCAAAGCTATGGTTTTTCCAGTAGCGATGTAGGGAAGTGAACGCCAAAGAATTGATGCCTGAATTGTGGTGCTGGAGGAGACTGGACTGTGAGGAGAACAAACCTATCAATTCTGAAGGAAATCAACCATGAGTGCTCACTGGAAGAACAGATCCTGAAGCTCAGGCTCCAATACTTTGGCCATCTCATGAGAAGAGTAGACTCATTGGAAAAGACTCTGATGTTGGGAAAGTGTGAAGGCAAGAGAAGAAGGGGACAGCAGAGGATGAGATGGCTGAACAGTGTCATCAAAGCTACCAGCATGAATTTGACCCAACTCCAGGAGGCAGTGGAAGACAGTAGGGCCTGGCATGCTTCGGTCCATGGGGTCACAAAGAGTCGGATACGATTTAACGACTAAACAACAACAAATGAAACAACAAAATACAAGTCCAATAAATAAATAAATGAAAATTATCTGTAATTTATTTAATCACATGTAATATGCCATTTGACCTCCAACAATAAGGTGTACAATAGCAAATTCTTTGGAAGAATAACACAATCATGTTAAATGAGGGGGAAAAATGAGGAAATAACTAAAAAAGAATTACAGAACCAACTCTTTGAAAAGCAAAATTATCATTTAAAAGAACCAGGACTAAAGCAATGAAATTTATATGCAAGATATGTTAAAAAAGTAAAACCAGTATTGCAATGACAAGGTGATGTGATGGACTGGGCAGTATGGGGATGATGTTCTGTACTACATTT